TTCCTGGAAAAGCATTGTTAGGTTAAATTAATTTGCGTACTTATCAAAACTTAAAAAAATCGCCAAAGCTTTACTTTTAGGAGACAAATTGTGATTTATACACCAAAGTGAAGGGAAAAGATCATACTTTAAAATAATTCATAAATATACACATTTTTATTATAAAAATTTTTGAGAAAAATCCTGATAAAGTATTATTAGTTTAAATTGATTCTTTTAATTATGAGACAAGGGAAATCTAAAAAAATTGCCAAAGCTTTATATCTAAGAGTTAAGATGTGATTTATACACCAAATTGAAGATAAAAGATCATACTTTAAGATAATCCATAGATATATACAACCTTATTATAAAAATTTTTGAGAAACTGATTCTTGGAAAATCATTGTTAGGTTAAATTAATTTGCGTACTTATCAAAACTTAAAAAAATCGCCAAAGCTTTACTTTTAGGAGTCAAGTTGTGATTTATACTTCAAAGTGAAGAGAAAAGATCATACTTTAAAATAATTTATAAATATACACATTTTTATTATAAAAATTTTTGAGAAAAATCCTGATAAAGTATTATTACTTTAAATTGATTCTTTTAATTATGAGACAAGGGAAATCTTAAAAAATTGCCAAAGCTTTATATCTAAGAGTTAAGCTGTGATTTATACATCAAATTGAAGATAAAAGATCATACTTTAAGATAATCCATAGATATATACAACCTTATTATAAAAATTTTTGAGAAATTGTTTCCTGGAAAAGCATTGTTAGGTTAAATTAATTTGCGTACTTATCAAAACTTAAAAAAATCGCCAAAGCTTTACTTTTATGAGTCAAGTTGTGATTTATACACCAAAGTGAAGAGAAAAGATCATACTTTAAAATAATTCATAAATATACATATTTTTATTATAAACATTTTTGAGAAAAATCCTGATAAAGTATTATTAGTTTAAACTGATTTTTTTACTTACAAGATAAACAAAATTTTAATAAAATCGCCGAATCTTTACTTTTAAGAGTTAAGATGTGATTTATACACCAAATTGAACATAAAAGATCATAGTTGAAGATAATTCATAAATATATATAATTTTATTATAAAAATGTTTGAGAAAAATCCTTAAAGTATTATTAGTTTAAATTGATTCTTTTAATTATGAGACAAGGGAAATCATAAAAAATTCCCTAACCTTTACATCTAAGAGTTAAGATGTGATTTATACATCAAATTGAAGATAAAAGATCATACTTTAAGATAATCCATAGATATATACAACTTTATTATAAAAATTTTTGAGAAACTGATTCCTGGAAAAGCATTGTTAGGTTAAATTAATTTCCGTACTTATCAAAACTTAAAAAAAATCGCCAAAGCTTTACTTTTAGGAGTTAAGTTGTAATTTATACACCAAAGTGAAGGGAAAAGATCATACTTTAAAATAATTCATAAATATACACATTTTTAATATAAAAATTTTTGAGAAAAATCCTGATAAAGAATTGTTAGTTTGAATTGATTTTTTTACTTATGAGAGAAACGAAATCTTAATAAAATCGCCGAATCTTTACTTTTAAAAGTTAAGATGTGATTTATACACCAAATTGAAGATAAAAGATCATACTTTAAGATAATCCATAGATATATACAACCTTATTATAAAAATTTTTGAGAAACTACTTCCTGAAAAAGCATTGTTAGGTTAAATTAATTTGCGTACTTATCAAAACTTAAAAAATCGCCAAAGCTTTACTTTTAGGAGTCAAGTTGTGATTTATACACCAAAGTGAAGGGAAAAGATCATACTTTAAAATAATTTATAAATATACACATTTTTATTATAAAAATTTTTGAGAAAAATCCTNCAGTGAGGGGTTAAGAGAGCGATGGAGTGATCTTACGTTTTCACAGTCAATCACAAGGTTCTATTGAAAGAGCTAACCAAGATATTGAGAAGATGTTATCTACATGGTTGGAGACAAACAAAAGTACAAAATGGTCGGAAGGATTAAAATTTATACAGTTCATGAAGAACAGAGCCCACCATTCCGGAATAAACCAAAGTCCTTATGAAGCTATGTTTGGTTGTAAAGCTAAAGTGGGTTTGAAAACATTCTTGCCAGCTGTTTTCTGCCAATGTTGATACATTGTCAAAAATAACACGTGAAGAAGATCTTGAGTCAATTTTAAAACAGCAATATGATAATCATCCTGAACATCAAAGTGAAGATGTTGCTACTGACTCAGAGCAATGTAGCAATGAAAGTACTGACCGTACATTCAGAGATTTGCAGGTCTCACAATCTGCTGAAATTGAATCTGTAGCTTTAAATAAACAAAATTCTCTCATTGTAAACCAATACAGTTTCACAAAAAATTCTGGAAGCTCGAAATTTCGCTAAACAGTCCTTAGAGAAGCAAGCTGACAAAATGTTGAAACGTTCTAATGCAAAATTTTAAGGTACCAGGAATTGATCGAGCCAAAGCAGATAGCCGAAATATAATAGCTGTTATTATTTCTGTTGAAAAGGACAGTTTTTATAAGCTAGGTACAAAATATGGTACTTTAAATCAACTGTATTCAAGGAATGAATTTACTATCTGTAAAGAAAAATTTATTTCGATTAACGAAGTACCAGAAACTGACATTTCCAACATTGCAATTGCACTGCTGAATGCAATTCGAATCGATGCAAATGCAAAAAATTACATATTCTTTGTAATTCAAAATGTCATAAAACTCGATCGTGCCATAATAAATAATTATAAATTATATGAGAATTAACTTATCTTTAAAGACTTGGTTTAACTTTATAAAGTACTTCAGCATTGAGTTTTTTTAATAAGAATTTATTCTTTAATAAGTTTTTTTAATAAAAACATGTTCGATATACAAAACTATAGTGTTTTATTACTTTAACCAACCACGTTGAGAAAATATTAATAATATCCCGTAAAACTGATTAATATATGGAGATTTATCACATTGATTAATTGTTGTACTTATTATTAATACTAACCGGTAATTATTATTAATACTAACTGCATTTATTACTCTAACACCGGAAACAGAGTATGTTATAAAAACGTTTTTATAACAAAAGTTGTAGCAAATTTTATTCTCAACAATTTTGCTTTCTTACACTTTTGCTCTCAGATGCATAGATATCGAGAAATATACAAAAATATGAAAATTACAATAATTTCGTTGTTTTACAAGTTGATAACTAACTAACACTACAACAGATTGTTGTACTTTTGTCATTAAACTAAAACTAGAACTAACACTAGATCAAGAACTAGAAACATTCGGGTTTAGCCGTGCGTCTCTTAAGACGGCTAAATCCGAATGTTTCTAGTTCTAGGTCTAGTCTTAGTTTTAATGATATAAAAGTAGAACTAACACTAGATCTAGAACTAGAAACATTCGGATTTAGCCGCAAGTCATTTAAGACGGCTAAACCCGAATGCTTCTAGTTCTAGATCTAGTCTTAGTTCTAATGCTAGTGTTAGTTCTAATTTTAGTTGTTATTCACCGCCAGATTGTTGTATTTTTGTCATTAGCCGTCTTAAAAGACATGCGGTTAGTTCTAATTAGTTCTAATTAGTTCTAATTCTAGATCTAGTATTAATTCTAGTATTAATTATTATTCAAATTCTTTTTTTAAATTTTTTTAAAATCTGTAAATGAAGCTTTTCAGTATTTGATTATTAAAAAAAAAAATTGCTAGATATCCACGATTGGGACTTCCCCCACCGTTTCAACAGACACTACTCGATCAATTATTGGTTGGTATTCGGGTGGAAAGTAGCGTTCGAACTCTTCCAAAGAGCGCCCTTTCAGTCTGATAGAACTGGGTGGGGAACCAACGGGAAACGTTTATTTTTAAATATAAAAATTGTCGGAACGTTTGAAAAAAAGAAATAATTTTGTTTTAGCTTCGTTGGTTTTATTAAAAAAGTGTAATTTTTTAATCGAAAATGATTATTTCTTTATGAAAACTGAAAATTTATCCCCACTCCATGAAAACCGTTGGTGCCATCCATTATTGTAGCCGACGTTCCGGGTTCGGATTGGTTCCTCCGGAGGCATATGACGTCATAATTGGAATGGAGGGCGTGGTGGAGCTCCGGTTAGGAAGGGATCACTGAAAAAAGGCTTCAGAGTGCATTGAGACAGTGTCCGGAGTTGGTTGTGCGTTGTTGTGGCTATACTCTCTTTTTAACTTACTTTTTTTCCCATGGACTGATTGACAATGAGTTCGTTCTTAATGAACCCTAATTATCATCATCAACAACAACAACATATGACCGGAGGAATGATGGTCGATCCGAAATTTCCACCTAGTGAGGAATACAGCCAAAGCAATTACATTCAAAGTCCGACTCCGGGGGATTTTTTTAGCAATCATCATTTAAATCAACCACCGCAACACTTGCAGTACGCTTATCACCACCATCAACCGACGTCTTACGGAAGTCCCATCAGCAATAATTACGGATATAGCAATTATTATCATCCGCAATTACATCCGCATCATAGTTCTTTACACGGTCATCAAATAAGGCCGTCGGTTCACGATTCTCAACAATCGATGGTGCAATGTTCTTCTTCAGTACCAAACCATAACGTGCAACAACAACCGTCAACAATCTCAAACGCGGAAGGAATCCTTCAAAGCTTAGCTAATATAGCACCAAATGTTGTTACCCAATCAAGTAGTGATGTGAACACTAACAGTGTTTGTAGTCCCGCTTCGACGGGTCACGGACAGGACTCTAGGGGTTCACCCCCAGTTGGACATTCGTTACAAGACTTAGGTTTACGTTTGGAAGACAACGTTTCCGACGAACACGATGACGCCGATGATGACCACAATTGTTCGGCAATGGAAGATGACGATGAAGAAGACGAAAACGGAGATAGAGTCATCTATCCGTGGATGAAGAAGATTCACGTTGCTGGAGCATGTAAGTTAACAATCTAATCTAATTGGGTTTAAAGTTGATGATCTATTTTTGGATTGGCTTCAATTTAAAGCAATAAATTTTACTCTTTGAGACGTCTACAAGATTTAAATAACTTTTACTATTTATTTGAAATACCTTAATAAACATAATGTTTTGAGTATTTAAAAGCTTGTTTTTGCTGTAATTAAAATACCTTGAAATTGGGTCAAAAATGCGACCACCACGTGGAAAAATTTTATCTAAAAAATTTCAACGCAAACTATTCAGTCCTCATTATATAACTAAATAACTACGTTGTATTATTATTGATATGTTTTAATATAACTTTTAGAAAACACTAATTGCTTCATATCTTAATTAGTTTAATGATATAATTATTACTCTTTAACCAGGATAAATGCCGAGTCACTTATTTGAATCGCTTTAAATATTTGATGTAATTAAGCGACAATTAATAGGTATATAAATAGTCTTGGGACTTTAGGTGCGTGAGTCTGCAAAATCATGGTTCAAACAAGCACAATTTCATTAAGAGAAGCGAGTCGATAATTTGATCCAAGATAAAGTTGTGTGTGGTTAATTAATTGATGACTTTGTCGATAAATTTGAATTAAAAATTCAACGATACCAATCATTTTTGAAAAAAAAATAAATTTGGTAAAAAGTACCAAAGTATTTCAAAAGCATTTTTTTTACGTTTTACGTCAAACATTTGCGTAACTCGCGTGTATTGGAAATACCACAAAAATGTTTAAACTATAAAAACGCACGGTAACAACATTTTTGTGAAAATTTATTATGCGTCATAAAAGATTTTGAATTTTATTGAGAGCTCCTAAATTCTAAGTCTAAAATTGACTCTGTTCTGAGATTATACCATTAAAATAGACAAAATACAACAAAGTAAGGAGAATTCCAACATTGCAGAGTACTTCTAAGACTTAGATAAATTACTTAATTATTTCCGAGTAAAACTAAATGTTGCATTGCACAGAATACCAAAAAGATTCAACATAACATTTCAGAAGTAGCTAAGTTATCCTAAAACAAAGTGCTCCATAATAACATAACACATTCCAGTATAGCAGAATAATCTAAAGTAACAAAACAGTCCAGTATCTAGAGTTAGAAATTTATTTGCTTTATGGGAAGAAAATGGTAGATGGGAATTCAAAGAATAGATTCCTTTTGCAATTCTTTAAAGCTTCTCTATTACAAGGAGCAATGAGATCATACACCGCAGGGTTGCATAAATAGCATAAATAGTTTCAGAATGAACAGGATCATGGAAGTCTCTAAGTTTGTCAAAAATTCTATCCAACATTCATTATCCTTCTGATTTTTTAAAAAGCATTTTGGTAGAGTTTTGCCAACATGCATATTTATAATTTTTTTAGAAAAATTTACACTGTTGTCTTTCAGATTTTATTGATGGCAACTTTTCCAACTTAAATCAATGAGTTATATATTTTCTTTTATATTTCCTAAAACAAGAAGATTTAAGTTTTAATTTGGCCCAAGAATTATTTCTTTACATTCATAAATAGATTTATTTTAAGTTAATCATTTTTCTTTTTCAAATCGAATTTATGTAGGAAGAACATGATCTCCTAAATACCATTAAATCCCTATTTATACGACTTAAAGATCATTACACGCCCACATTGTATGAAACGTTTTCAATAACCGTTGACATTTCCAAAGTGAAACATCCAAACGATTCGAAAGTTTTAGGTTACAGGTTACACGTTACATGTTCATTAAATCATCGAATAACACGAATTTGAGATGCAAATTTTCTGTTCTCGTGTATGAAATAATCCGTTAGCTACATCATTCATCTTTATCATTATTACACTCATATCATTAAATTTTTTTTTAAATTTAGAAAGGCTTTCATTATATATGAATCTTAATTTGAAAATAATTTATGTTTGAATTTTTCTTTTTGGGACGAGGTGATGTCAGGCCACACGCAAACAATCAATAGATAACAAATCATCCCTCAGCGTGAAAAAAAAAGAAAAATAACTACCTTGAAGTGTCTCCGACCTAAGGACCTCTAAGTACGAACCGATTTATAAACCTTTTATTCCTTAAACGACCGTCGATTTGTAATCCTGAAGTTTTCGGGACCGTTTAGTGCCTTTTAAAGAGGGCATAGCGCCCTCGTGGCCCCGCGTCAAGATACAAATGAGCTGCGATTTATCTAGTCCCTGGTTTGTTTGGTGTCTGCGGTATTCGGATTTCTGACAACACATTTTTAAGAAAAAGAAGCAAACCGATTGACAACCCACCCTAAAATGTCCCATTGAAATCGAATGGTGATGTTTAAAAGGTTCTTAAAGTTTAATTTAAAACATTTTTTGAATATTTTATTGATTTCCTCAATTATAACTAATTAAGATTAAGATTAATAACATAATTAATATGTGAATTGTACACCAAAATATAGCTGAAAGATCATACTTTCAGATAATCTATAGATATACACAACTTTATTATAAAAATTTTTGAAAAACTTATTCCTGAAAAAATATTGTTAGGTTAGGTTGATTTGCGTACTTTAAACAATCGCAAAAGCTTTACTTTCAGGAGTCAAGATGTGATTTATACATCTAATTGTAGATAAAAGATCATACTTTAAGATAATCCATAGATATATACAACCTTATTATAAAAATTTTTGAGACTCTGCTTCCTGGAAAAGCATTGTTAGGTTAAATTAATTTGCGTACTTATCAAAACTTAAAAAAATCGCCAAAGCTTTACTTTTAGGAGTTAAGTTGTGATTTATACACCAAAGTGAAGAGAAAAGATCATACTTTAAAATAATTCATAAATATACATATTTTTATTATAAAAATTTTTGAGAAAAATCCTGATAAAGTATTATTAGTTTAAATTGATTCTTTTAATTATGAGACAAGGGAAATCTAAAAAAATTGCCAAAGCTTTATATCTAAGAGTTAAGATGTGATTTATACACCAAATTGAAGATAAAAGATCATACTTTAAGATAATCCATAGATATATACAACCTTATTATAAAAATTTTTGAGAAACTGCTTCCTGGAAAAGCATTGTTAGGTTAAATTAATTTGCGTACTTATCAAAACTTAAAAAAATCGCCAAAGCTTTACTTTTAGGAGTCAAGTTGTGATTTATACACCAAAGTGAAGGGAAAAGATCATACTTTAAAATAATTTATAAATATACACATTTTTATTATAAAAATTTTTGAGAAAAATCCTAATAAAGTAACTTTAAATTGATTTTTTACTTATTAGAGAAACGAAATTTTAATAAAATCGCCGAATCTTTACTTTTAAGAGTTAAGATGTGATTTATACACCAAATTGAACATAAAAGATCATACTTGAAGATAATTCATAAATATATATAATTTTATTATAAAAATTTTTGAGAAAAATCCTGATAAAGTATTATTAGTTTAAATTGATTCTTTTAATTATGAGACAAGGGAAATCTCAAAAAATTGCCAAAGCTTTATATCTAAGAGTTAAGATGTGATTTATACACCAAATTGAAGATAAAAGATCATACTTTAAGATAATCCATAGATATATACAACCTTATTATAAAAATTTTTGAGAAACTGATTCTTGGAAAATCATTGTTAGGTTAAATTAATTTGCGTACTTATCAAAACTTAAAAAAATCGCCAAAGCTTTACTTTTAGGAGTCAAGTTGTGATTTATACTTCAAAGTGAAGAGAAAAGATCATACTTTAAAATAATTTATAAATATACACATTTTTATTATAAAAATTTTTGAGAAAAATCCTGATAAAGTATTATTAGTTTAAATTGATTCTTTTAATTATGAGACAAGGGAAATCTAAAAAAATTGCCAAAGCTTTATATCTAAGAGTTAAGATGTGATTTATACACCAAATTGTAGATAAAAGATCATACTTTAAGATAATCCATAGATATATACAACCTTATTATAAAAATTTTTGAGAAACTGCTTCTTGGAAAAGCATTGTTAGGTTAAATTAATTTGCGTACTTATCAAAACTTAAAAAAATCGCCAAAGCTTTACTTTTAGGAGTCAAGTTGTAATTTATACACCAAAGTGAAGGGAAAAGATCATACTTTAAAATAATTCATAAATATACATATTTTTATTATAAAAATTTTTGAGAAAAATCCTGATAAAGTATTATTAGTTTAAATTGATTCTTTTAATTATGAGACAAGGGAAATCTAAAAAAATTGCCAAAGCTTTATATCTAAGAGTTAAGATGTGATTTATACACCAAATTGAAGATAAAAGATCATACTTTAAGATAATCCATAGATATATACAACCTTATTATAAAAATTTTTGAGAAACTGCTTCCTGGAAAAGCATTGTTAGGTTAAATTAATTTGCGTACTTATCAAAACTTAAAAAAATCGCCAAAGCTTTACTTTTAGGAGTCAAGTTGTGATTTATACACCAAAGTGAAGGGAAAAGATCATACTTTAAAATAATTTATAAATATACACATTTTTATTATAAAAATTTTTGAGAAAAATCCTAATAAAGTAACTTTAAATTGATTTTTTACTTATTAGAGAAACGAAATTTTAATAAAATCGCCGAATCTTTACTTTTAAGAGTTAAGATGTGATTTATACACCAAATTGAACATAAAAGATCATACTTGAAGATAATTCATAAATATATATAATTTTATTATAAAAATTTTTGAGAAAAATCCTGATAAAGTATTATTAGTTTAAATTGATTCTTTTAATTATGAGACAAGGGAAATCTCAAAAAATTGCCAAAGCTTTATATCTAAGAGTTAAGATGTGATTTATACACCAAATTGAAGATAAAAGATCATACTTTAAGATAATCCATAGATATATACAACCTTATTATAAAAATTTTTGAGAAACTGATTCTTGGAAAATCATTGTTAGGTTAAATTAATTTGCGTACTTATCAAAACTTAAAAAAATCGCCAAAGCTTTACTTTTAGG